CCTCTTAATTTCAAGGAGGGATTTTACCCTTGGCTTCCCATTCATATGTTTGATGGTGATTCAACATACTTGAAGAAAAGCCAGGCGTAAACTTCAAGCACTGTTCGAAGCTTACTTCCAACGCCAGTGATAGGTGCCCCACTTGTCCGGAGTACTAGGTCATTGTGACTTGGGTAGCCTTTGCCGTGGGAGCAAAACATGCGTGGTGTTTTCTTGCTGCTGCTGCGTATAAGCTTTTCATGGGTACAACATGTCCCGCGCGCGCGATTGAATGAGTTGGAAGTCCTCAAGCGAAGGAAAACTTGAAACATGGCCAGGGGCTTCATCCTCAGACCGCGCAACAATATCCACGGAATCGACTGCATAGCTTCGCCCAAAGATGCCCAAAGTATCACTCTGTTTTCTATTCCAAGGTAGACTTAAACCCATGGCGGTGTTCCCCAAAAGCAAAAATCTCCGGGTCTTAGTCTGCCTTGGGGTAGACAACTTCGTCGCCTTCTGACCGTAGGAGGACTCTGAGTTTCCGCCGCCGCCGGCCGCCAGGATGGCAGCGATGAAGAAGGTCTTGTCCCCGATCTCTGAGACGAAGGTCAAGGCGAAGGCCTTGCGAGTTGCACTTAACGAAGAGTTAAGCAGGGTGGGGCTATGGTCCCCCGATGCCATTCTAGTCGATTCTAGTCTTCCTGCAAATGGAAAATGGACCTCTGAAAGTTCAGCTGTCTCCTTATCCCTGAAAAAAGAAGAACAAAAACATACGCTGTCGGCACCCCCTTCAAAGCACCCTTCCAGTTTCAGTAGCTGCCATTGGGACAACCAAGGTCAACCCTTCTCGGCCTTAACTTATCTTGGGCCAAGTAATGTTCTCGCAGTTCCCTCGAAATGTTCAAACGTTTCGATTTGGAAAACGGTAAAACAGTCAAAAGGGTATGTGAGGATCAGAGGGCACCTGCCCAGGGAGGGCTATGGTTTAGGCTGGGCAACAAAAGGCTTCTAGAAACTTACCCGGTGCTATCGGGCGAGCCCAACTTCCTGGAATTGCGTGCAATCTTCGGCTCAAAGGAAGCCACAAGCGGAATGCTGAACGAGCCAGCTGAAACAGTGACGGGAAAATGCGCGCACGCCGAGCTGAGAAATCCTTGCTTGCCTTCTCTGCCACTTACCAACGAACACCGAACACGACAAAACACACGCGTGCACGCTGTTCGCTGGTGCGCACTTTCCAGCGCATGACACCCAGAACATTGCAACCGAACTCCCTGTGTCTCAACCAAATTGACTCTGCCTGCACAATGGCGTCGGTGGGATTGAGTGTGGCATCCACCACGGCTTCTGCATTGGCAGCTGCTGGGGCCAACAACGCTGCTGATGCCTAAGGAGCGCGGAAAGCGGAAACAGACTGCTATGCTGCTATACCCGGTTGAAGCAACCAGCTTACCACCGCTTGCATAAACTAAGCAACAAGCGCTTGCCGAGCAAAACAACAAAACATGTTCAGGGCAGCTCCGAAGGCAAGACACATACCCAGGGAGGAAACCAGCCACATGTTCTGAAGGAACTTGCTGAGTAAACACAAACCCTTCTTGGAGGCTCAATCTGTGAAGTAAGGTCAAGTCACAAAAACAAAGTCCCCTCTATATAAGCGTGATTTCTAAATGACCAAGGAATTGATTGACGTGGCGAGGCCGCACATCCCCGCTACACCACAAAGACCCGCCCAATTCAGGAAGGCTTTGCTATTGTTGCCCCCAGCCAAGGCGCAAGGCCGGGCAAGATGGGCGGCGCAATGGGTGGAGTGACCGGCGGAGGCACGAAGCTGCGGCCTACCGCGATGTCGTCTCAGCAAAAAGAGGGAGAACAGGGTCCATCCTTCAGCCTCACCAAGAAGCCCTTGCAATAAACGGTGATCAGGGGGCTTGTCAACCGCCGCGGGCCTTGGGCCTGAAGCGTTTTCATCACTGGAGCAAAGCGACCGAGAGGGAAGTATACTAGAAGAAACAGTACCAGTTTGTACCTGAGCTCCCCCCCCGGCTGAGGTTTGCTTGGAGTTGCTGAGCTCAGAGCGTGTGCTTGAGTGCATGTTGCTTCTGGCGCTTTCTACAGCAACAGTGAGGCGTCAAAGTTCGGACTTTGTGGGCATCCGTTGTTGGGCGTGTCGCGATTGTCATCCAATTTCAAATGGTCGTCTCTCGAACAGGGAACATGGGGAAGAAACAGACTTGTCGAGTCAAGGGTCGAACCCTTTTCATGACAGACCCTATAAGCGTTGAGCACCAGAGAGTAGATGGCACACTTCCCTGCAAAAAAAATGGCGAAACCAACATGGGCCGTCTAATTTCACCCTGCAATAACATGGGCCAATGCGCGGGTCGGCGTGCTGTGAGCATGACCAGCGCCTCTCGCCAAGAGGTATGCCAACGACAGCAGCACAGCCTGCCGGCACCTGCAAGCTTGAGACGCTCCCGGCCCAAACCGCTGGCTTCAGGGAAAAACAGGTAACAAACACTTATGTATATATCATATATATGGTGCAGCGTTGCCAGCCCCCCCCCCCCTCCCCCCCCAATGGTCATGGGTCAAACAAGTACCCCCCCCCCCCCGTGGTTGTGGTCCTGTAGTTGGGTTGTGGTGGTTTAGGGTTGGTTTAGAATTGGTTGAGGGTATATTTAGGGTGTATTTAGGGTTAGTTTAGGGTTGCTTCAGGGTTGATTTAGGTTGATTTGTGTTGATTTAGGGATGGTTTAGGGTTGGTTTAGGTTTAGAGGTGACGGTTTAGGGTTTGGTTTAGGGTGTATTTAGGGTTGGTTTAGGGTTGGTTTAGGTTTAGGGTTTATTGTTTAGGGATTGGTTTAGGGTGTATTTGGGGTTAGTTTAGGGTTGGTTTATGTTGATTTAGGGTTGGTTTAGGTTTAGAGGTCTACGGTTTAGGGTTTGGTTTAGGGTGTATTTAGGGTTGGTTTAGGGATAGTTTAGGTTGGTTTATGGGGTTTCTGGGTGCGAGTTCAGGGGGTCGGGGTGGGGGTGGGAGGATCCGGGGGCTCGGGGTCTCGGGCCGGGGGGGGGGCCCGAAGGGCCCATACCATATGGGGGGGGGGGGGGGGGGCAACACGGAACACGGGACCATATATATATATATATATCTCATAGATATCTATATAGATAATTAGTATATATGCATTCAGCATGTATTTGATTAGAAACGGGTTTTCACGAATGGGTTCCAGGATGCTACACGTAAAATTATCCTTAGCAAAGCAAAACCATTGGGCTTTCCTGGGTACCACACACACAGATTCGTGAATATATACATATTTATATATATATATATAGTGCAAGTATTTGTGTTTATTCATGTATATCTATGGTATATACATATGTATACATATATACACATGTGCATGTGTCAGGTGCATAAATTAGGCCCGTGTTCTTCCTTGCTACCCCCTCCTCCAAATGGTATGCACCAGCACGCCCCGAACCCGCACCCTCGCACTCCCGCACCCCTGCTCCGCCAGAACGAGCGAACCCTGACAGCAACCAACGCTACACCAACTCCAACCACATGGGTCGCCATGCGCGCCAAACCAAACCCCTTCAAGTGAGCATTTTGACGGGTTCTCAAAGTTGCTTTGGAGGGTGTCCCGCTGAGCCACTATTTGGAGGCAAATGTCTTGATGTTTCAATGATTTGGATGTATAAGCAGCTACCACTGTTGCGCGACGGTGGTGCGCCTCCAAAAACGGTACAGCATTGCCAGATGTTCCCCTCCTTCTTCTCAGCAGTTTCGCATCTATTATCACACCGTGCGTTCGGACAAGCTGTAAGCCTGTAAGCTATGGTATGATACCGTGATTTGGGTTGCCCTGCGACTGTGGCAGAAACGGGGACCCTTTTTTGGGATTGATCATGTTTAGAAGGGAACCCACCAACAGGGGAAGAAGGGTGCCACTGAACAACTGGCTGACTGTTTCCGTAAACCAACACCACGAGAAGGCGAATAGACGATGCTTATTCTCTCGACAACTCCAGTGCATGCTGCTTACATCTCACAATGGCCGGCAGGTGCAACACGGCTATCCTCTGGGAACAGGGGTGTTCCGTGCTCGCTTGCAGGAGGTCAAGGGGGAGAGGTGGAGCCTTAGGATGGCACCCGCGCCTCACTTTGCGCGCCTTCCACGCCCACGCCATGGCCGGGCCGAAAGGCGACCAATGCCGCACGGCAAAGCTTGGGCCAGCGCCCCGGTTTCCACGCGAGTGGCTTCTGCTTGCAGCATCGGCCTTCCCGCTCTTTTCCCTATTTCCGCACACCCCGCACACCCACCAAGTCACCACATGGTGCTTCAAAAAGAACAAGAGCGCTTTGGACTACCGCGGCCTGGGTGGCTAATTATGGCTGGCAAGCTTTTAAAGCCTTCACATAATACATCTGGGAAAAGCCGCTCGATTCTGAAGTAGCGCAATTGTTTGCCATGCGGAAGCCAGGCTTCATTGTGGGACGAAACAACACACAAACCATTCGATTTGGCAAACACACAAGCACGGACTGTGTAAAAGACGGGATGCCATTTCCTGACCTGGTACGTCGTCAAGTTTTCGAAGCCCATCCCTGCCTTCCCCGGTCCCTTCTGAATTTTCCTTGATTTGCTGTCGCTGCTTCCCGCCCGTTGCTAATGCTTGGACCCATCTCCATGGTGCTCGCTAACTTTCCCTGTTTGGGTGTCGCCTCATATCCTGATCGTTTTGGTCGAACAACATCTTCTTTGCAAATGGCAGTGCTTCCCATTGCTGAGCATCCGCCTGCTCGAAGGGAAGTTGGAATCATAGACGGAGCTTCAGAAGGTTCCCCAGCTCCTTTCCCAAAAAAACAAATACAACCAAAAAACAAACAACAACACGCACATATTTGACCTGCAAAAAGATTCCTGGACAAACATGGGTCCATGTTTGTTTTCGCAAGGGAAACTTGTCATCTGACTCTATATGCGTCGATCTCGGCCCGGCACTGCCACCAGTGCGCTCGCAGGCTTCACCGGCGCCAGGCAGCCTATGCACGGCGCCGGTCCGAAAAACGATGCGGGCCATCCCCCAATAGCAAAACGCGCAAAGCCCCGTAGCCCTGTGCTCAGCTGGTAAGCTAGTGAGGAAGGAGGGAGGGATAGGGAAGGTGAGGAATTGATCACTGCCACGATAAGGTAACTTTGAATTGGACCCGTTTGCTCTGAGTGTCCAGCTCCGACAGGCGCGCTTGCCCTGGCGGGAATAAGAGAGCAGCGTGGCCGTGGATGGTGAAGGCCTGGCTCAGATTTGCAGAATGCACAATTCGGAAAGCTCCTCCCTCAAATTATGGGATGAAGCCAGATTTCGAAATTACCAGATCTGAGCCCGAGTTTGTTGTAGAAAACCTGTTTACATTGCCAGCATGGCAGGCTGAACACGCTTCAACGAATATTGTTCAGCCAGTTCAGCTCTTGACATGAAACCCCCAAGCATACACCTTTCCACCCTTGCATTTGTCTTTGATGGACCTGAGCTGGACGTGAAACAGAGAGCACAGAAACATAAGGTTGCAGCGCCTGGCCCAGTGGGAAGAGAGAACAAGGGGCAAGGGGCACGCATTACCTTTTCAAATTCAAGGAATTCCAACATCAGAAGAGGAAGCAACATGGGCTTGTTGCTACATAGAGGACCCCCTTACTTCCATGGTTCCCCTTTAGTTGCCGTTTAAAACTATCCCACTGCAAACTAACATGGATTCCAAAAAGTGAGTTCACACAAAGAAGACTCTTCTACAAATGCCATGTTTTGGGGTTCCATGTTAATCTGCAGAGGTGAGGATGCTTCAAAAAAGACAACCCTGGGTAGAAACATGGCAAGGGTACCCCGAAGTTACTGACCTTCATCTATCTTGGGACAAACCCTTTCGTCTCCATTATGGTGCCGAGAGTGAAACCAAAGGAAACTGTTCTCGCATTTGGAGGCAATTGGCGCGTCCTTTGTTGATGGTACTTTTTGGGGTTGGTCAGAAGGGCAACCAAATGAAAACCGTGCATCGCCATGTTGACACAAGCCCATTTGCCAAGCGGCCGGTGCAAACTGATTCTGAGCGCCTTCTCCAGCAAGGAACTGCAGGGTACGGGTGCCACTTGCCTCAGGAAAGGTTCCAACCGAAACTCACCTGACCCCAAAAGGGTGGGAACAGAGTATGGAACCAGTGCACTGCTGGGGCCACACCTTGCTAAATCCGAACTGTTAACCTGCTTGTCTCCTCACCTAAGCTGACCGGAACCCCTGCATTTCTATCAGGATAGGATGCCGGGATGCGAGCATGTTTGCGGCCGGCGGATTCTTGGGTGCGGCTTTTAAGTGCAACGTGGTGCCTGGGTCAACTTTGCGCACAGCAAAAAGGCCGGATTATGCCAATCCTCTATGTTCTTTGCAAGGGCATCGCTGCAAAAGCCAGAGCGACCGGCCCTCTCAGGCCGCCACAATTCAATCTCGCAAAGGGAAAAGTCCTCACCCGCGCTGCGCACGATGACCTTGCCACAAACGGAGAGAAATCAAGCGCACTAAACCCTTGCAGACCCCGCTAACTCCCATGTACACCCCCCGTGGGACCCAGCCAACAAGGCCACTTCGTCCTTTGCGCGGCTCAGGTCCTACCCTGAAAACATAATGCGGCTCGAAACGCTGAATTCAAAAGAAACCCGAATAAGCATAAACTGACATGGAAGCATCCGTCTCATTTTATTAAACACCAATTGAAAACACCACGAGGATCTCCTGTTGTGACCTGCCCCACTGCCTGAATGTCGCTTTGAGTTTGGTCGGATCCACTTTGCCGTGGGAGCAATACAATTGAGTTCAAGCTTTGACCAGCACGGACAAACCGATGAAACTAATTAGCCCTGATTGCTGTAACTCACTCTGGGCATCTTGCTGCTTGAACTGCTCTGCCTGCAGCTGTCTCCGAGCCTCAGCATGGGTAGCCTGTCTACAATTGATTTACAAACAACAATGCGTAAGCCCTTTCCCAATTAATAAATGCATCCCGTTGATCAACTCAACCATGTTTCCGAGAACCTTGTCACTCGTGGAGGTTCGGACGCAGATTAGGGGACATTCTAAAACCCCATCCCCAACACACCTCTACCCGTCACCTTACCCTCCCTTCCAGCCCTCCTAGCAAGCCTGTCGCCTGGCAGCATTCCAGCCAGCCGCTCTCAGTGACTCCCTTATCAGGGTGTAACAAAGAAGCAATGCAAGCTCGACTCCAAGTGGCTCAAAAGGAAACAGGTGGCCAATCTACACACGTCATAATGATAGAGCTGGTGTGAGAAACCACAAAATGAAGTTTGCAGTCAGGGCCAGGCAAGCTCGCTTTTTACCGCACAAACGCCATAAGTCTGGCAGATTGAATCAAAAACATGTTCGGGTGGGAGGAGGTTCGGCTGCGCCACAGCAACAGTGGCATTGCCAGTTTGTTCCTCAAAGGCATGTATGTATGCATGCATGTATGTATGTGTGTATGTGTGTGTATGTGTGTATGTGTGTATGTATGTATGTATGTATGTATGTATGTATGTATGTATGTATGTATGTATGTATGTGTGTATGTGAGTCTGTCTGTATGTACGTATGTATGTATGTAAGTATGTAAGTATGTCTGTGTGTATGTATGTATGCATGTATGTCTGTGTGTATGTATGCCTGTATGTATGTATGTATGTATGTGTGTATGTATGTATGTATGTATGTATGTATGTATGTATGTATGGATGTATGTGTGTATGTGTATGTATGTATGGATGTGTGTGTATGTATGTACGTATGTAGGTATGTATGTGTGTGTATGTATGTATGTATGTAAGTATGTCTGTGTGTATGTATGCCTGTGTGTATGTATGTATGTATGTATGTATGTATGTATGCATGCATGCATGCATGCATGTATGTATGTATGTGTATGTGTATATGTGTATATGTGTATATGTATGTATGTGTGTGTACGTATGTATGTATGTTGTTGTATGTATGTATGTATGTATGTATGTATGTATGTATGTATGTATGTATGTATGTATGTATGGGCATGTATGTATGTATGTGTGTACGTATGTATGTGTGTATGTATGTTTGTGTGTGTATGTATGTATGTATGTACGTGTGTATGTATGTATGTATCTATCTATCTATCTATCTATGTATGAATGTATGTATGTATGTCTGTATGTATGTATGTATGTATGTATGTGTGTACGTATGTATGTATGTATGTATGTATGTATGTATGTATGTACGTATGTATGTATGTGCATGCATGGATGGATGTATGTGTGTGTGTGTGTGTCTGCATGCATGCATGCATGCATGTATGCTTGCTTGCTTGCTACTTGCATTCACCCAACTGCAATTCGCGGCTGACTATGCCAAGCAGGGATTTGCATGCTGGAGCTTTGGGGTTTGGACTGTTTAATGCCCAGTACTGAAACGAAACATGATCTCGTTCGAGAGGTTCCAAGTAGCCACCATTTTCCCTTGAAAGGGCGACGTTTGCAACGTACACCTCAAACGAAAGAGATGCCAGGTGGGTATCCCAGTTGCCCAGTAGAAACATGTAGAAACATGCTTTGGCCAGATTCCAGCTGGGAGAGGACCATGTTTAGTGGGCCTCGAACTGGCCCGAAAGCCAACTCATCTCCTGAGCAACTGCGGACATATCCACCAATCGGTTTGTTTTGAAATTGGGGGGAGCCCCAAAAAATAGTAGAAGTCCTTTTGGTTCGTTCAACCCGACCAATAGGCGCTTGAGTGGATCGCAGCTCGGCATCTGGCAGTGCACCACCACAGCGTGGCCGCCTCTGAGTGGCTTGCGCCGGGGCAAGGGGGCCTGCTTAAAAACATTTAACAGGCCACCCAAAAGGGAGACTCCTCCCGAAGCAAAGTTGGGGAACCGGTTGGGTATGATTCTTCAAAGGCCCCCTTCTCATGCCCCAAAAACAATGTGATGTAGTTCGCATTGTGTGCTCCATGTTGGTAGACTTGCCCGAGCAAAGTCCACATTTGCTCATGACCGAGCTTGTATAACAGGGTGTTGAATGGCGGGCCTGAAAAGTATCCATCGCCTCTCCGGAATGTCAAGCAGTCATGAGTTGTTAGGCGCCCGGTAACGTCTATTGGGATTGGGAAGTCAAGTTTCCGGCGGCCCGAGGCAATAGCAAGCAACACTCATCTCCCAAAATGCAGCTGCACACAGCCCCAAAAAAAGTACTCTGATTCACGGGAACCCCATCGTGGTTGTTGTTTTGGCTTCCCTGTAAACCACGAAAACAGGGGGGCCCTCAAACAAAAACAAAAGATTTGCTTGTCCCGACAACAACCAACAGACTACCGATATTTTGACCCAAGCTCAGGTCACCACCGAGGCTCTCCTCTGCAAGGCCGCAGAAAATATCCTCCCCATCTGCCTCAGACACCGAGGCCTGAGGCCTGTAGCTTGCACGAAGCCATCAAAACATAGCATCTCCCAATACTAAATTCGAACCAGACAACGCTAAAGCCAATTCTAGCTGCCTCTCCGTATAGACTATTAAGGAGGGATTTTCAGGTTTTGGACACGTCAGTCGTTGCGCCAGGAGTCTGAGGTCTGGGGATACTTTTCGCATTCCAAAAGCAGGACGCCTACCCTGTGACTGTGACATAAGCTGAGCGAAGAAGAAACAGTCCGTGCAGGTGCCACACAAGGCTGACAGGACAGAGTCCAGCCCCCCCCCCCCCCTTCGCCACGACCTTGGGTTGGGGTGCAAAGGCAGCCTGAAAAAGCAAATGCTGTGTTGTTTGGCTTCAAAAAAGTGTCTGCACGCATCAAAATAGCTACAACGATGCGCGTCAATAAATGGAGCATAAACCATGAAGAACACATAAACACAAGTCACCTTGTACTGCAGGCGAGCAAATATAGGTCGCTTCACAGACTGGCCCTTTGAGGCTGGTGCCGCCAGCATCACCTCGTAGACCAGCGGCTCCCGCCAGGGCAGTGTGGACAGCGCACCTCGCCCCCAAGCGCAATCATGGCACATAGCCAGGTACCTGGCAAGCTCTTAGAACAAATTTACCAGATGCCTGCGAGGGACGTGCTGCGGAAGAGCATTGGCAAATAAGGCGGCTCAACCGTCTACAGGGCCATGTGTTCAAAGGCGTGCAAGCATTGGCGATTTGGAAAGGCCGCGCGGTGCACACCCTTCGGGAAAATGCGAGTTATCAAGCTTTTCAACTTGTTCACCTACCAAAAATGAAGGACCCAACAAAGAAACATCAATCTTGACTGAGGTCAACCCCGTGCCAGAAATGCCCTGGCTGCAATCCTTCAAGCCTTACACTCCAGCAAACAATATTATAAGTACGTACTTTATGTTCCAAACAACCAAGGAAAATCCTGCAGCTTTCGGGCTTTAACTCGAGCTTTAGAAGACGCATCCTGAATCATGCAGCTTGGTGGTTGTGGGGCACCTGACTTTCTGAAACATGCAGCCCTTTAGAAGACACTTGTCATGTTCAAATGGGTATTTTTAGAAAGCACGCTATTGAGATTTCAGGGTCGCGAGGCATCTCAATATTGTTTGCTGGAGAGTACTTGAAGCCAAAACTACCTATAGGGTTAAAGTCATAGTTCAATCTGTAGAAAACCTTCACATTGGTTTTACCCCCTCGGAGGATGACCGTCCCTGTCAAGCCCAAAAACAAGGGGGGGTCTTTTGACCGTGGCATATGGGACCCGGGCCTGTCCACAGCATGATCCGTGTCACCTCAGCTTCGCACCACGGTCCCTTCAGCTGAGCCTCACCAGCAAATGAGGGTTTCGCAAAAAAGGATTCCCTTTGCACTGGAAACAAGCAGGGAAACAAACAACACCAGTATCCGTGGGCCTGCGCCCCAAACGCTGAAGAACGGAGATGCGAAACCTCATGCCCCTTGGCAATCGCAAAACTTGTCCTAACTTGCCCCCCCTGTGCCAAACTCCAAGGCACTAAATTTTGGCTTTCTTTGATAACCCAAAAGCACCCCACCATTTTGGGGTCTCCATTTATGTTGACAAATATCCACATATCCCTTAATATCACGCCAAGATTGAGGTCAATGGTTTCCAGGCAGCCTCACATGTCAAGAGTCACTTTCTGGGTAAACGGCCCCTTCGAAGCACAAGTCCACCCGCAACAGGCAACTCGATCCAAGCCTATCTGAGTGGCTGCTCGCCCCAGATTGGGGCCACAGCATCTTGCCAAAAGGTACCCAAACTTCGCTATGTGATCAAGCCCAAGCGGTGGGAACCATCTTCCAGGAGTTGCAGGGGTACACCGCAGGGGACTGGTTCAAAAGTAACAACAACCCTTTAAGATAGTACCTCAAGAAGCGTCACACAAAACCTACCATCTATGGACCCGCCTCCTTCGATGCACGGAACTTGAATTCTGGGAGCAAGGCCAAAACATGCGCATGCAAAACCCCAAGCTGAGAGGGTACAGCTCTGGGTGGCACTTTTTGTCCTGACACTTTTGGACTTGACACTTGACGCGATGGACCTGCTTTTAGGTCTAGCCCATAAGTCCGCAAACGTTCACCCACAATCATACTAACTGTTTAACGCTTCATGGAAGCGTCGTGGGGCCACACGCACGCGGAAACGCGAGCCAAGGAATTCGCCGTGTACGCCGCGTCAAGCTCCAGGCGCCAAGGCTGCCTTGCCGGTCGCAGGGCGCATGTTAAAACCAGCGGCGTTGACCCCACTTGCACACACACCTGCAAGGCTCCATGAATAAAATCACCATTTGTTTGAACAAACTGTAATCGCAGTCACGCTGACATCCGCCCAACCCAAAGGAGGAGAACTCTCAATAGCGAAGTCTAAAGGCCACCGACTCCGACCCCTGACCACGTCAAGAGTGAACTCCAGAAGAAGCTTCACGGAAGCATCAAAGGGCCAGAGAACAAGAACCAAAAGCAGAAGGGCGGAGCTCGCGGGGAAATGAACTGGAACACGACTAACTCCTTCTGGCCATCCCTTCGGAGGAGGTCAAGGTCTGGTTGTTTCAGCAAATTGCCCTGCAAAGGGCTTGGCTCAGTCCAAACTTCCGTGTGTGGTGGAGAAGGTGCCTGACAAGTCAGGCCCAGTTTCGCAGTGACCCTGCAGAAAAAAGGGAGCCCTTTTTGGGATGACAATGTTGAGCAGGGGTCCACCAAAAAAGGAAAAGGGTGCCGGGGAACAAGTGGGTACAAGCACATCAAGTGCAGCGTGGAGCCCGGGCCTGGTGACACAGTGCTCCCGTCGATAGTCCCCATCCTCAGTCCAAACAACTTCCATGCGCAAGCAGTCTTATCAAGCACAATAACCATTTGGGGTAGGTGTGCGCAGGCGCCAAAACAAGTCAGACCGTCTTTCAATCTAGAGGGGTCGCTGCGTACAGGGGCGCGGGCTTCCTGAAGCAATGGGCATGGGCATCAAAGGCGATCAACTCGTTGCCGCAGCTTGGCGTACGCTCCACACACGGGCATTGTTTGGGTTTCGCGGGAGTTCGCAGGAGACCAACACGGCCCAACTGGCCAACTCAGAAGCTGTCAAAAGGGAATGTCACTGCAAACCGGCAATTTCGTGCTAGCAGTATGCAAACGAGCAGGCGGTACAAGCCAAAGCCGTACCGCTGGTTGGAACAAACCCATAGTCCGATTCTTGCCTCAGGGGCTTAACTGATACTCTCTCTGAAGCTCGTTCCCGTCTTGAATCGCAAGTCGCAAAAACCCTTTCTGTGGCACACAGTTGTGCCCCACACCCATTAGCTGCGAGTAGTGGAGTGCGTGAGGCTATGACATGACATACGTAGACACATATGACATATACTTTGGCGTGCATGCACACAAACACAGAGGAAAACACATTTGTTCATGTTGAGTCATGCATCATGCTCTCCGGCGTGAAAACGCCTCTCGTCATCAAAAGCCAACATAGCCTCTTTACACCAATCATGGAAGCACACTAAAAGTGTTCGCTCATCTGAACAAGACCCTCTGTGCACTTCCGACAGAGCTGAATCAGAGCCGCGGCAAGGCAAGCCATTGCAGCCTAGTAGTGATTACCAGCGCATAGTGGGGGCCACTAACGACCATTCGGGGCCATGAATTTCAAATGGCCCTTGCGAGTTGGCTGCGAGTCAGCATAGCAAGGCATGCTTTCAGCTTCCCGCCACTGCTGGATCCGAGCCGTTGCTCCGCAGCCAAGGCCTCAGGTTCCGGCGAATGCTGCAGATCTCTGTACATCAGGGTGCCATGTAGAATCGCCATATGTAGATAGATGCATATATTTGGTACCCCCCCAAAAAAAAACAAAAACTTTTTGCAGAATTCACTAATATGTCCAGTGTTTTTGCCTTTTTTTTGGGGTCTGAAAAAGACGCAAAAAAAAAAACTCTGGACGTTTCATGCTCTGGCAGACCCTCAAAAAAAAGGAAAAAAATCGAAAACCAGACTCTCTGAGGGAAAGGTAGCTGGAAACTCCCGCAAAACCATACTCCCTGAGGGAAAGGTAGCTGGCAGACATTCTCCCACAGGAGTATGTGTGTGTTTTTTTTGGTGGGGTTTTCGCTTTTTATTATTTTTGTTTGTTTCCTTTTGTTTTCCGGTGTTCCTGCTTGTCTGATCTAGCAAAACCACATCTGCCAAGTAGGCGTCTTCAGGTCTCAAGCTCAATCTGTCTGACTCCCTTTTTGTTTTATTATATTATGTCATTCACTGGCTTAAAAAATGCAATCATCAAGGCTTAGGAATCTAGTATTCATTATTTGGAATGAGTATCAGTCCTTATAAGATTAGAACTATATTCATCAGGAAATAGATGGGATTGTATAAATATACCTCCATAAAATCAGAACTTCTATAGTATAAGCATTGCATTGCATTGCTTTCTTATGGTCTTCTTTTCAGTAATGCCTGCCTTGTTTGGAGGATTTCGAAGTTATGTTGCACCTAGCTTTCAAGGATCTCCAGAAGTGGTATATCCTGGAGTCAGTAACTGTTTCTGTCATAATTATTTTACTTTCACATCTTGTCTTAATCCTTTCTTTAACCTCAGAATTTGGAGGTGGTACAGGATGGACATTGATTCCACCATTATCCACTTATTTTATGCCATCACCACCTTCAAGTACTGGTATTTCGAGTGAAATGCCTACACTTTGCCAATGCACGCTTGGAGCAACATGCATATGCATAGCCGAAAGCCCGCTCGTTGCAGAGCCTGAGTCCCCATGCCAAAAAACAGCTGCGCAAGTTATCTAACGCAGGTGCTACAACGTCCTTGCTACAAACGCGCCATGACAAATGGACAAAGGACCATGCGATCTCCAAGCGCTGTCAGCCCCAGCCTGGCGGGCGGACACCCGCGGCCACTGGACACTACCTTGGAGTTCCACCAGACTGGTTGTCTTTCCTCGTGAGCCAAGCATTGCTTGTTTCAGAGGTAATCATTCTTGACAATCCATTTGACTCAAATGGTGCTACCGTTTACGAATATAAATTATATACATGCCACAAGCTTCTCTCTCTCTCTCTCTCTCTGTCTTGTTGCTGTTGTTCATCACGCGCAAAAATATGGCATTGTCTTTCTTGGATGTTTCTTTCTGGACATTAAACATGAAGAGATCATTCATGGTAAAGAGCCCTCTCCCACCAACATGGGGAGGCATTGCTTAAATCGATGGGCAAGCGTGGTCTGAGGTACCCGCAAGGCAAAGGCAACGTGTACCATGTGTACCCTGTTTTGCCTTCCATGCATTGCTTCGGGGATTTGCGACTCAAGAAAGATGCTGTGAAGACGGCGTCAGGGATTTGGGGGGTCGCGAAAGGTGGTTGCCGCATGGATGCGTTTCAAGTTTCATGTTAGCTTAGCCTTACCTTCCTGGGAGTCCCTTGAGAAGCCCCAGCAGCGGCTGGCACATTCAGTTTGGTTGCTCAGCACTTCAAGCCGAGTCAAACGCGCTTTCACTTGGAGAGTCACGGAACACAAATTCTCAATTGAATTATTTCACATGAGGTGGCAAAACAGAAGCAGCCGTGTAAGAACCCTTGACTTTGGGTTCACCAACACGCCTATGAAGGGTCATATAGCCTTCCCGAGACGCCCCAGAACTCAGGTTCACGCACACAAAGATCCTGAGTTGCTGGCATTGCCCATCGGAAGCCACTGCGGCTCTTCAACCGGCAGGGTGGCACCGATCTTCAAGAGGCAGCGGTTCTGAAACCAAACCAGCAGCGCCGCAGGCATCACCTTGTACGCGGCGAAACCGCCGAGAAGCGGCTTAGGCGGACCTGTTGGAAGACCTCCAGGTCAAGGGCTCGGGAAAACTGAAGCTTGCCCGAAATTCCGAAAAGAAAACAGTTGGAAGGTGCAGGTTTTTCAGGCTGCCAAAGCGAAAGGAACATATGGGAAGCCCTCTGGGGGTTCAGAAGCAGCGCGGGTGTGCACTGACCGTTGCAAAGGCTTCGCGCTCGGCATGACTCTAGCATGTTCCCACGGTACAAGACTATGGCCGGTTAAGTGCCGAGCTCGAAAGGGTTGAGCAAACTGCTTTGAGTTGGCACCCCTGTGAAATTGACTTGGAAAAACAAACCTGTAAAGCCATGCTTCGGTATTGCGTAGCGTTGGCATACGATTCACGTGCACGGTTTTCTGGCTCTGTCCTTTCCTTGTCATAGGCAGCAACCCAACCATGCTACCAAGAGTTCATTAGACTCCCTACAAGAAGGAACGTGGCAAACATGGTGGCGTGCCGTTTTGTATTGGAGGCTGCGTAACACTTGCCGTCGCCCGTCTCGTTTGGCTTGGCATCCTTGCTGGGCATGCGCTTGCCAAAGGCATTGCTGATGAGGCATTGAAAGATTCAACCGCGCATGTCGTATTCTAGAGAAACATGCTTCAAGAGAGAGAGAGAGAGAGAGAGAGAGAGAGAGAGGGGGAGAGAGAGAGACAGCGAGAGCGAGAGCGAGAGAGAGCGGCAACGAGAGAGCTAGCAAAGCTAAGCCAACGCACTTAAGCTTGCGTGCATCTTTGGATAGAGGTCTTTGCTGACAAGAGCCATTGCTACACCATAAAGCACCGTTCAGGAAGCCAAGTGCACCTAGGAAGCTGAGCAACTATGCTGCAAGTCCAAAGCTGCGGGGTTGACCGCGCCTGGTTTTATCGGCAACCGTCTCGTAGAAAAAGGGAGCCCTGTTTGAGATGAACTATTTTCGGTGAGCCCGCCAAACAATACCAACTGCATAGGTGAGCTCGTTGCTGAACTATTAGTCAACCGAACTGGCCTCAAAAGGGCGCTTGGTTGGATGCTTCTGAAAATAGGGAAGCCCCTCAACATGGCTGGCTTGCTCTTGGGTGTTAAATCGGATTGCCCAGCTCCCAATTCGTTTTGAAAGCAGCTAAAAGCCTGTGTGTCGATCTCCCTGAGGCCCAAGCACAGCGAGGGCTGGCGTCACCCACGTAGCTGTCAGGAAAGTAGGTGAAAGCGCGGCATTCCTGCGACAATTCTCCAAACCACATGCCCAGTGGGCGCACGCCAATCCAAATCCAAAATCCGAAAGATCAACCGGAAGTGAGTGAGTGCTAGCCATCGCCTCGGAGCCAATCCAAACACGCCTTGCTAGCCTCGTGCCCTGCCAGTCAAACATCAACCAGTCAAAACTCCAGGCATGGAGATGTTTGCAGGTGACGCAAACCGAAACGCGTATTTGTAGAAGCCCTGGAAACAACACATTCAAGGCATGGCAAGGGGCGATTCCAAAGTACTTCTTGCAGCGGACACTCTCAGGTTGCGAAAGTTGGATCAGGGTCATGAAACAACTCAAGCAAATCATGCAAGCTCCTTGACACATTCGCAATGTCTCTATAGGCGCATTCACTAATTACCTGAACAACTTGCTGGTTTTGAGCAGAAGGTGCTGGCATAAACCTGGGGATCCCCCTTCAAGGAAACCATACGTGACTCAGTTTGGGGTCATTCCCTCACTAGTCATTCCCTGCTAAGATCCAAGACTACGCGTTCCACTTGCAAAATCTGGAAGAAACAACCAGCTTCGGATGCGCAGGGCACTGCGCCCCAAAAGGGGTCCCCTTCGTGCACAGCCCTGGTGGGGTGCCTCGCAAACGAGTTTCTTCTTTTATTCTCTCTCTCTCTCTTTCTCTCTTTGTCTCTTTGTCTCTTTGTCTCTTTGTCTCTTTGTCTCTTTGTCTCTTTGTCTCTTTGTCTCTTTGTCTCTTTGTCTCTGTCTTTCTCGCTACCTCACCCACAGGAAATGCCAGCCACGCCTCTGTGTCCTGACACTGCTTCCGGCCTGATTCAAACTGGCAGAGGGGTGCGGCCAATAAACATTGTGGGCGTGCAGGCTGCAATGTTCAGCTTACAAAAAGCTGAGCACATGGCAATCCACCCAGCATCCACCATGTCAACCGTTTCTGATTGACAGCCTTCCATCACTACGACTCCTTACCTTGCACCAATCAAAGTTAAGACAATGTTCGTCCTGTTCAATTGAGATTCTTTCACCTTTCGGCCGAAGGCGGAGGACGTTGAACATTTGACGCTCGGTTGAGCAAAGGTCGCCGAGCTCATCGCAGGCTGCGGCATCTGGCACTTCCTTGAGAAAGGCCATGTCCTCGGTGCCCAAGAGCTCAAGGGCGGGGCATTAAGTCTTTGCATCATATCCGGCTCTTGCGCTTGGGCGCAGCATACCGGTGTGCTTGTGTATGCGCGCATGGCATGTGTGTGCACTTGTGTCTGCTCGGCTGTTGCAAGACAATGCGGGGGAACTTGTTTACGAGTTGGGAGTCAACTGCGACAATGCGGTCTTTGGGTGGACATTGGCGAATGCGTTGTCGAGAGGTGTTGCCCTTGGGCAGCTGCAATCCCAGCACTCCTGAAGCTCTAAGCAAGGGGCGTGGCCGACCTGATCGACTCCGATCTGCAAGCATCCACCTCGCTGAATGCATGCGGTGCGATCAGATTTGGCACAGCAATCTATCTGGTGAGGGTAGTGCTCTGGTACTCGCAAAGAGGGGGTCCGTCCCTTCAAAGGGTTTTGCAGCCTGGACTGGGCCTGTGTCACCCGTCGAACATTGTCCAAAAGGCTGCTGTCTCGGGTCCCTTTGACACAAGGCATCCTGAAAAGCGAACTTAGTTTTGACAGCCCTCACGGGTTTGCGTTTGGGGTGGTGTGTCGCTTGTGCTTGCGCCCATGGCTCTGTGATGGTGTTATTGGATGATGTTCAAGGCAGCAAACAGGACAGCACAGCACAAGTGGTGTATGACAAGGGGCTTTGTGAATTCCATGCACTATTTCGTGGTCATTATTTCTTGATTGGTCCATACTGATTGATTGGCTTACCTCAACTTTGAGGGGCAACTGCTTGTTTCTGAGCCAAGGTTCGGGCCCAAAACCATACACAAGGAAGCGGAAACGGCAGCAACTTGTCGAGCTGAAGCGGGGGCCACAGATAAGACCACGGTCTGCAAGCGTTCTCGTTTTTGTTGCCGTGTGTCTGGAAGGCCGTGCACGGAACAAGGACATTGCGCGCTAAATGCTATGGCTTTCCTCATTCTCGGGCCCAGCAGAAATCAAAAAATGCAAACTAAGCCTTTCTGAAACTCCGCATCGGAAACATGAAAGACAAAAGGTGCAAAAGTCAGCTGCAGGCAAGCAACTGCTCTAAACTTCGGATTGCTCTGGAGGACTATGCTGATCTGAGGAACCCCAGTGGCAGCTATATTTTCCCTCCGGATTGCTCCGAGGTTGACGCGGGTGCCAACATGGGGGGCATTGTGATCAAGACGATCAAATATTTCCCGTTGGTTCCCGTTGGAGAGTAAACGTTTTATTGCGCATCCAGCATCCAGTACGGCAGCCGCAACAGTCAATCCCCGTCGCCTGGCTCTGGACAGTCCCGTGGGCCCCAAATGAGGCCGGCGTGAGGGGTTGGAGGCGCCTCTGCGAGGCGTTCCGGCTTCAATACAACAAAAAACAGGGTTGCCCCTCCGGATCCAACAAAGGCCACATCCAATTGTACAGTTGGCGACAACGGCCTTGCAATGGGTGCCCTTCGCCCACATTAAAAACATTGGCGGACAATGGCTGACGGCTAGTATTTGGCAAAGGGCATACGTGCACACAACAACAGGTATGATCTTTCCAAATTCGCAAGCATGTCAATATCTACCCTCTCCGAAACCTTTAGTCATAGAGCTCCTTAAGCACCATGACAGCGTCAGGCACCAACTGTTTCCAAGCTATGTTTCCAGACGGGCCCTGAGTCACAATGACCCGGAACCCAGAGCCTGTGATCCCTTAACAACGTAGCTTGAGGATGCACTCTCGGACGTTGCCCGGTCTGGCTTTCCAGTTCCGCGCCTCCCAAACAAGTTGCCTCATGGCTTCACTTTTCAACATCGTCCAAAACAGGGGTGCCAATAGTAGGCGCGAAACAAGACGGTCCCTGTCGGCAGTGCATGGTGCGGCAAGCTCCGTGACGCCTGCGCGGTGATCCTGAGCACGCAAACCTGCAGTCGCTGAGTCCGCAGTTGTATTTCTAGCTGTTTGTGGCTAGAGGCAAGAGCACAATGGATGCGAAGACATGCGTGTGCTCGTGTGTTCTGAAAACCTGGCAGCGTAATTATGACAAATAATTTGTGCAATGGGGCCTTCAACAAATTCAAATGCAACACATGCGCAGTAGTGTTGCACTTGAGCTGTGCTCAGCAGAGAGGTAAATTAAAGAAGCAAACCACAGTAAAGACATGTTTAACCCACAATCGGGAGAACATGGGGGAGGGACATGTGCACAAGCAAAACCGCCATTCAGTTAAGGAGTAAGGACAATGAGCACGAGCTTCAGCCAAGGCGTCACAACCGGCCCCCGAGCGTGCCAACTTGAGGCACGTGCTCTCCGCAGACCAAGGATCGCCGCCACGGGGAGACTGCGGAGCTTGTATTTCTCCGACTTCTTTGGGTTGGGAAATGACCCTATGGGAAAATAGTCCTTCAACATGCAAACAAACACAAGTTTAAACAGGTGCTGTGCCTGTATGCTCCTGACACTTATGTGTATATATTATTTATATTATACATACATAGACTGCCTAAAATTGCAACAACGCAAAGCTCCAAGTAACCTTCATCAGACTGTCAGAGTGACGCCAAAAGGTCAAGTTCCTCACTCCCCTATGCTGGAGGGGGTTGAAGCTGAAATGTACATTGCCCAATCGGGCGCTATCACTTCTCCTCTGAGCGTTTTGAGCTGCTTGCCCGGTAGTAGGACCCCCACTTCCCCCCCCCCCTCGCCTTGCTTCCCCAAACTCGTTTGACCCTTACTTAAAAGATGCCCGCGAATAGTTCTCAGAATAGTGGAGCCCTCAAAAAACGGGTGCTTTCGCTTTCTCCTTTTTAAGCAGCTCCCCCTGCAAACACAACAGGAACCACACACAGTTTCGCGGCCAAATCCCATGCCTGCACCCGATGGGCTCCCAGTTCTCTGGGAAGTGCGTCCATCCACCTGAGATGGCGTGGGACACGTGCTTTTGCTGCCACGGACAGTTCATGCTCAATTCCTTCAATGGTCCTTAGTCGCCCCTAATAGCACTGTCAGTCACAAAAGCCCCCATTAGGCTGCAGTGCCTCCCAATCATGGAAATATGCAACAAGAAACTCTGATTCCGTCCCTCAACACAGGACTGATGGGCCCAAAGGCACCATCATCTCCGGATCTCCCACACTTTGCCCGCCCGCCAAAACGGACTTGCGGAGAGGGGGAAATGATTGGGCGCCACAGGGCTAGGCTCCATTTTGCTCGGTCGCTTTCCCATGGAAGCTTGAGTCGCCACCCAAGGAAAGAGAGTGGCATATCAGCACTATGTACTGTATTGGCGTTAGGTCAAGGGTATGTAACTAACACTTGTTTCCCTTTGGGGTGATGGCATCTGTAACCGACTGTCTCAAAACAATCAAAAGAGTGTTCATTTGTCGTGCCGGCACAGCCGCGCAAGGGGCACCGCCAAAAACAGATGTGTTGAAACCCATTTTAGCGCTCCTATGAGGCCCGTATTTTGAGACGAGCATTCAAGACATCGCCCACTTGCCAGCAGACAATTGAGCTCATCAGGGACTTCGTGCCCCTTTTCCGTGGCTGCGGTACACAGGAACACTCTGTTGATGGGTGCCTTATTTTGAGACACCCAAGTACAAACGACACCACCCCAAAGGGGAAACAAGTGTTTGTTATATACCCTTGACCTAGCGCCTATACGTGGTGCTGGTGTGCCATCGCTTTCTTTAGGTGGCAATTTGTGGGTGGTGGAACCCCTCTTAGAAGGACACAATTCTGTAGATTCACAAAATCGCTTGCACCATCTCATTCTTCGGTGGGGCTTCATCCAGCCCAACTGCTGCCGATAGGAAATATTCACCTCCCAAACAAGATGAAACCAAATCGGCTTGGAACGCCATCTTCCAATACACGGCGTTTGGTTCACCGTTCAGATCAGGCACCGCAGCCCGAGTCTTCCTGGCACCGCTGCTGGCATTGCGCAGCGCCTGCGACGCCAGCGACAAAACTGGGACCTACCCCTAAAGGCAGGGCAAAAGTGCTGGTGATTCGGAGGTTGGATGTTCAAGCTCCCAGGTGTTTTTTTGCTTGTTTTCATAGTTTCCTATCTGGATGTCAACCAATGGGGTTGGTCTCGCTTGAATTCATGAACACAACTTATTACAAAGTCGGTTGACCATCCAAGCAAACATGGGAATCATAGGCGGGGGCTCTTCCAAACATGCTACCTAGCATGGGCCTCACATAGGCCAAAAAGAAACACAGGATGTCCCTTTTAAGGCCACCGGACTCCCCCCCAATCATCAGGGCTGACAGGGTTTGGGACGCATACTGTAATCTGAATTGGCCCCCTGTTGGCTTCCAGGACTATATAGAATGAAGTAGATATATTTTATGGCAGGTAAATGAAAGGAAAGCAGGTTAAGGCCTTCCACAAAGTAAACTCACCGATGAGGGTTGTGCAGCAAGCACTTCACGCGCTAAATGCCTCGTAGCTTCCCACCAACGATAGGCACATCAAGGAAACAATGGAACATGTATGCCTTCAAAGCACAGGCAGCGAGCCGGGGTCCTTTTCTGCCAACATAGAACTTCAGCAGAGCTTGCAGTGATTGAAAGCTGCCAGCAGAAGGGAGGCGAAGCACTCAGGCTGCTAAAAAACAGCATATTCCCTGCTTTCAAGGTCAGGGACGCGGCCTAAGCGGCCATGACTCTCAACTTGCCAGAAAACAAGCAAGCAAACCCTCCAGACACCCCATTTGGCCCCCTCGTCAAATCGCTGAAACGAAGCCAGCTGCTGCTCTGAAGGCTCATACTGGAGCTACTTTATTCTCGCAAAAGCAAAAATGAGCTCCGGGCTGTGCAGTCGAGGTGGTTCCAGCCTGGACAGCTTGAATGAACAAACCGTTGCCTTTTACACACAGAGGGGTTCTTAAATCATGCATCCAAACACAATCGGCTTTTTAAAGGAATCCTCCAAATGAACTGAAAATGACGGGCTTCTCACTGGACCAAAAGTCCAAGGACCCTCACAAATGTCAAGATTGGGGGGGATGTCCCAGAATTCAAGGACGCTGCTCAAAAGGAAAGCAATCACAAAAGCAAACGTGTTTGAGATCGCGGACGGAACTGCCCACTTGGCGTCATGCTGGAGGGGTGGTCCGAAGCACATGACACACACAAAAAATAGAAAGCTAGATGCCTGCTGGATGCCGTAAGGATATTGCTACCCTGTCAGAATCTTGGGTGACTTGGACAGTGTGAGTTAGCCCCATCGGCTGGACTATTCACTGCAACCTGTGGTGGGCTGCGCTCAGGCAAGCACGAGAAAAACTCGTGCGCAAACAGGTCAGCACCTGGCCGTTGTCTGAGCTCCAAAAATTGGCTTCCCAAATTGCAGCACATATCCGGTGGATGGGACCAGAAAAGGCCAAAATTTCAAGGCTATCTCAGCGCCACTGCTAGCACCCGAAACCAACCAACCTCTCTTGGGAGCGGCAAGCAAACCAAGAGTTCATATGAATCAGCATGGCTCTCCACAAATCGAGCCCCTAAAAAGCTCAAATGCACGAACACACTTGAGAGGTCTCTATTGTAATACATAGACGGCTTGGAAAAGCACCATTGTTCTATCCATTCCCTTTCGCTTCCACTAGGGTTAACCTGGATGAAAAACGCATCCTAGTGAGGGTAGTTCAACATGGCAGAGTCCCACCATTGGACCAACAGCATGGTTGTGAACCAAGCACGTGTCCGTAACATCAGAACATGTCATGTCTACACTTTGTCAATTGAAAAGGGATCCCCTATTGATCCCCTTATCACACAATGTAGGCTTCATCTGTAGCTGTGCATGGGCAAACTCCTGCACCTATGGATAAAGCCCATGAATACTGTGCCATACCAGCTACCAACTGGTAAGTTCTATCCAAACGGGCGCCCTACCGGTCGCCTCGCCGCCAGCCGCAGCCGGCCCAGAGACGGGACGCTGGGCCGCAACACCTATGTCCGGCCAGGGCTCAACTGGCACCCTGGACATGTTTTCGAGAAAGCCTTGGACTGGTTGCAAGCACTCTCTCCTAAATTTTGGGACTGGCGGCCACTGGCGGCTTTAACACAAACCCCGAACGGAAACCAACCCTTCACGCAGAGTTTCCCACATTTTTGGCACCTCCCGAAATGACCAAAGGAATGCAATCATGGGTGAGTTATGCTATTCCGAGTTTCTTGGACACACCAATATGCCGACCCTCGTTGGCCCAAAGGAGGTGAAAATCAACAGTTGACCTCACGGAACATGGACCTAGCCTCGCAATCGAGGGATGATTGGCACAGGCTGGCGAAGGGCTGGTGAATTATCATGGGTCGATGCCTACATGGGACGGAAGGTTTTCAGAGGAGCACCCAACAAATTGCTGGGGGTCCAGTTGGGAATCCCTCACTGGGGCTATCCACTGGTTTGTGTTCAAGCAACGATTTCAACATTCTTGTGACTTTCCTTTGCGGGCTTTATTGTCTTTCTTGATCTTTCTTGCTAGCTTCCCTTTGAAGGTCCATGGGGCCATGGCATAGTTTCTTGAACAACTTTGATTAACCCAAAGTCTCGCGCAATCTGTCTTTCAAAGGCCGGACCACTCCAAGTCTGCAAGCGTGCTCTATTGCAGGCTCATGACGGTTGCACGAGCACATGCTCTCTCTACACACTTGCAGGCACCAAGGCTCGTATAACAACTTGATCGGAATGGTGCTGTTCCGGCAATGCAGGCTGTCATTCAGCTCTGCACTCTGATACTGGCAACGATACTGAACTAGCATAAACTCACGAATGCCAACAGGCATCAACAGGCCAGCTGTCAACTGTGCCCTCGATTTTGTGAACGACGGAAGCAAAGGGCACACAATAATGTAATTCCCCGTTCATGTCTAGTGGAACTGACAAAAGGGGGAAGGTCACGACAGGACTGGCAAACGAATTTCCTCTGCACCCAAGCGCAGAAGGAAGATCATGTTCAACGCATGGAGCACGAACCTATTTCCCGGGCCCGAAGCTCGCAAAATGGGATTGCTTTCTGCTCCCTTGGACAAGGAGTGGATATTTTCTGGTCCCTGTGCAAAGAGAGGGGGTCGGAACCCGTTCTCACCTTTCAGCCAAATCTCCCAAATCCCCCATGGCATGGGCATTGCCAGCCACACCTAAACACACGGCAACGGTGAAGTGGAGTTGCCGCAGCTTGACTCGACCTAACATGTTTCAGAAAATGAACCGGGCCTCTCTTTTACAGTGCTGGTGATGGTGACCTCTTATTTGGGAACGGACATGTGGGCAGAGTATCAGTCCTTGAGCTGGAATAAGCTGGGAGTAACCATGCGGAGCGCCGTTGTGGCGAAGCTGTTGGAGTCCGGCCAAAGGTCATCCATATAACCATCCCAAGGAAAATGAGGCTTGTGACATGAAGCCGCTCTTGTGCTTTCGTCTGCCTGTGTGGCTTTGCAAGGCGTCCGCCCTTGTGTTTGTTGCATGTCTCTTTGGCGGAGGTATCTTAGTCTTTCCTGAAACAATGGTTGTCCAGTCCAGTGACCGTGGTAATCAAGAGGAAACTCTCTTTTGGGTTGCACATTTTCAATGGGTAACCCACCACGGAAAAAAAGGGGACAAAGGGACTGCACAACTAGATTTGCTTTCAGCTCCACTCCGCGGCCGGACTCCCTTAGCTTGCATTCGCAAGACGCTGAAGGCTCTTCTTCTGCTTCCGGCGGCGCTTCGTCTCATCAGCCGAGCAAAGGTGGCAGTGCAAGCAAACACGGCCATTGTGGCAACCTCAGGGGCATGGGTGAATTGCTTTGGCTTGTCGATTCGAATCTGCATTGCCTCGAGGAACGCTCCCACTGACTACATTTGGCGTGTTTATCCCCATAGAGTTCCTCTTCCGAAGTCCTGGGTCGGCAACGCTCGCAAAGGGAGCCCAGGCTGCATTCAAATTCCAATTTCGGCTCTAGTTCCGTGCCTTGGGGCTTCCAAAACCATGCGCAGGGCCTGCACTGCTCCGGGTGCAGCACGGAGCCCACTGAGCGCGCCGGCTCGCTGGCCGGAAGATCGATCAAGCCCGGCCTGGATAACGTCCCTTTGGTGCCAAGGGGCTAACTTTAATCTTCCACCCCTAGCCACTCCCAACAGTCCTGCTGTCCGTAGCTGTCATTCTTTGTGAAAAACGAAGCTGGAGTGCACTTGGAAGCTAGGTGTTGCCCCAGCAAAAGTTTCTGGCCAGTAGCAATACGCTGTACGCCCTTTGTCTACAGTCTCTACAGGAAAAAAATGCGGGGTTTTTCTTTTTCTGATACCGCAGTCCGCATGTAGCCGGTGAAGATGTTTCTGTGCCCCTGTGGTATCCCTTCGTGGTGCGGTGGCGTGCAGCTGGGGCGTACCGGTTGGGCTGGTTGGAAAGCTGCAAGGTGTATAGTATAGGGGCCCGGAAACCTATGGACCTTGGGTTCCACCAAAGGTTTATTTTCCACATACGGCCGTAAAACAGCTCGAAAATGAGGAAAATAACACAAATGTGGAAAGTGTGGGGAAAAAGGCAAGTGCGTGCACAGCATTTGGCCAAAGCGCAACTGAGGCAACACAGGGGCCTTGACCTTCATGACCCTAAAACGTTGGCGCTCTATCACGATAGTCTATCGACCGCTTCCTGGTCGTTGCACCCAGTATCTAGTTCTCGAGTCGAGGCCAGGAGTACAGTCTAAAAGAGCTGAGTCATGATGAAGGACTGACGAGCATCTCATATTTCTATATTTTTTACGGAGTATGGAGCTTCAATTTACGTGGCAAGCATGATCACCCATTCAGCCAAGCATCGGTGGTGCAAAAGTACTCGAATCACCTAAATCCTCGCTGGTCATGTCGGACAAGACGGCCAAAACCCTTTGCTCGAGATCAAGCCACGTCGAGTCGAGGGATGTACCGGAGCCTGATGCGTCAGAAGCCGAAGGCGTCACAAAGAAATCGGAAGCACGTCCCAGATTTGGACTGGAAGTCTCATCCTCGTCAGTAGCGAGGTACAAGGAGTCCTTGTAGCGATCCCCCACCATGGTCCAAGCTGTGGTGTCTCACTGAGCCGAAAGCCTTCATGGAAAACATGGACATCTTATTCCTTGCCTGGGACAACTGCCCTCGTCTGCCAAAAGACATGCACCCGCCCCTCTTGGGGCTTGGCCGGTGTATGCGTGTCCGCAACACGATGAAAGCATGTCCCCTTTCGGTGAGCTGCTGAAACTCTGATGCTGGGCCCCTGGCTTCTGGTAGTTCATCCAACCAGCCTTGATCCGGCTTTCGCTAGATCGGCTGTCTTTCGGGAAATAACAAAGCGAAACAACCAGCCATTGTATTTATAAGTATACGTATGTTTTTGACACCTGTCCGGTTGGTGCTTGAGGGCAAGTCAAAATTGAAACCACTCATTTTACCTGTCCCTTACTTTGGTGCATATCCCAGATGTTGGCACCTCCTTAAACGATTGCATGACCGAAAATGGAGGGTCTGCCTTCAACAACAATCAACCTAAACTGGGGTCATCCCATGTTAAAAAGACAAACTTGGATGGAAACGCCGTAAAGCTTTCATTGCCTGCAGCTTGGCTTCAGCCAATCAAGGTGGCCTGAAGGCTGCAGTCAGTGAGTCATGACCTGCAGTTTGATTTGCGTGTCTCTTTACATTCGGGCGACTCCTTGAGTGTTCCTCCGGACACATCAAGACAAAGGCAGCTGGAAGGGTTGGAGGTCCTGAGCATGTTTGTGCAGAACATTCCTTGACGTTTCGCATTCGAGGTTGCAAGGGGCAAGCCACGCATTTCAACACACTGAGATTCAGTTGCTTCGTCACGAAGCGCCAAGGCACAATGTATAGAAGCAGTGCCCATGCGCAAACGACATTTTACCCAAGCCAGCTTACAACAAACTCTAGCCAAAAACGGATATCACGTGATACGCTCGCTTACCTAACATCAGCAAACCAAAGCTGAATCTTTTGGAAAGCAACTTGGAAAACTAGAATCCGGTCGATTCGCCTGGACCAAAACTGACATGCTTAGACGTATAGTCCACATTTAGCACAGTTTAAACATAGGTTGGTGGGCATGAGCCGTCGTTGAATATCCAAGGTTCCAGTGGCCATGGGAAGTATGACGCCTTTGTTTTGGTAGTTCACTACAAGGCGGACACCCCTCAAAGAGAAGAACAACGGGCCCCTAGGATATCAAAAACAGATCCCTGTGAAAGCTGAAGCCCGGCGCTGGAGGTCCATTCGCAGTGAAAAGCAGGCGGAGATGCAGGTCTGAAAACAAACATCCGCCCCTTCACCGTGGGTTTCGACAAATGTGCTTCACAACGGCCCCAGCCGACTGCCAAAACTGCTTCAAAGGCGCCGGGCTGCCCAAAGACAAAAATCCGGTATGCCCCATGGGCAACTCTCATTTGATGGCTTGATGAAGCGAAGTTCATGCATGAGTGCACAGGAATTATGAATGGGAAGGGTGGGAAGGGTGGGGTGGGTGGGTGCGTGCTGAGTGGGAGAGGTGCTCTAGGATTGATTGAGGGCACCCCTTTCTTCTTGGTTTAAAGGGAACCGACAGGAAAACCGCCAATGGACATTTCTTGGCTCCCCTGGCCCCTGTGTGGCCATATTTACATTCGGCCGACATGCCAAGCCTCCAACCAAATTGAAAGGGTTTTTTTGAGGCTGACCCAACCATGCTTGGAACAAAGCGGTAGCTACTCCCCCAGTCATCGAGCCCGCGGCTTGATCTTCTTTGTTTACTGGGGGCCGCACCCAGCAGGCACTGTCTCCCAGTGGCCCCTTGGACAGGTCACAACCTCGACGAAAAAGTGGCATGCTTCAGAATGTGGCACCCGGCCAATTTTATGGATCATTGGATGTGGACCCCCTCTCCAACAAATTGCATGAGGTCGCAGTTTGATTTCTTTCACACCTTTGAACTAATCCGCCGATTCTGGCAAGCTCGCGACTTTAGCCACGTCAAAGGCCCTTTCGCTTGGGAAAGGGCCAGGTGGACGGGTGTTAGCCACTATAGCAGGCAACCAGGATATGTGGTCCCCCTAGACTTTGACATGGTGGCTTCCCATCCTACCCGTGATTAAACTGCATGAACTTGCAACTTCCAAGTGGTAGAGCATTCAGCCTACAGGGCGAACCAAAAAAACGCACGTGACGCGAATGAGAACGGGAAGTTTGAGGTGAGGTTGGGTTTTCTGAGTCGGCTGGCTTGAAACTATGATATGACAACTATATGAACTGCAAGAACCAGCCAGGGGTATCAGTTGTGCCCCGGGCAACAAACCAGCAGCCACCAACCTGCAATAGAAAAGAAGTCCACTGGACTGTCTGGAGCAGGCTGGTGAGAAGGTAGCGTTGTCTTTGCTGGCAACCGAAACCAGCTTTTTGGTGCGTCCTCTCTCAAGTGTTTATTTGCTGGTTCCAGAGGGCTGCCGGCAACCCTGTCAAATGGGTGACATCACAAAATTATGGGAATTCTCCGGATGACTTTGACAGGTGGATCTCATACCCAGCAATTGAGAATCGGTCAGTTTGAGACTACGGGCTCAGGTCCTCCACAACGATTGTAAACCAGGAATGTCGATATGGCAATCTAAGCACTGCACAGCGCTCACACGGGTGCAGCTCGTCGAAGCAGGTTTTGACCACATCCTGCATGTGAACCCCTAATATGTTTTGCTGTTCCCCAGGTAGCTGAAAGCTATAGGGGTGCTGACTTCTAATAAAGAAGAGACAATGATTTGCGAGATTGTTGGCTGGGTGCTAGGGGGCGTGCGGTTTGGGGTGCTGGTGTAGTTGCTGTTTGGGGTGCTGTTTGATCTGTTGGTGATGGTGCTGGCGCTTTTTTTAAAGATTGACGCCAGGGTGCTAGGGGGCATGCGGGTGACGGTGCGGGCGCTCTTTTACAAGATTGATGGTAGGGTGCAAGGGGGCATGCGGGCACTGTTTTGCAAGATTGACGGTAGGGTGCTAGGGGGCATGTTTGGGGTGCTCTTTGAGGTGCTGGTCATGGTGCGGGCCCATTTTTGCGCGATTGACGGCCGGATACTAGGGGGCATGCGGTTGACGGTGCGGCCGCTGTTTTGCAAGATTGATGGCAGGGTGCTAGGGGGCCTGCAATTTGGGGATTCTTGCGCAGGTGCTGTTTTAGGCTGCCGTTCCGGGTGCTGGTGATGGTGCGCGCATTTTGCGAGATTGACGGGCGGATGCTACGGGGGCATGCGGGTGACGGTGCGGCCGCTCTTTTGCAAGATTGACGGTAAGGTGCTAGGGGGCATGCAGTCTGGGCATTCTGTTTGAGGCGCGGCAGGTGCTGTTTTGGGATGCTGTTTGGCCCCCCCCTTCAAATCACAGGCAACATGGCCCCCAAAAGGCCCCAAAACAAGCATTTACTCGTTGGTTGTTCCCAATCGGCAATTTTGCAATCGAGCTGATCGTTTGTGGGAAATGCTCGTTTGGGATGGTTCCGAGCTCCGGGCAGTAACCAGCCATCAAACGTGGCAAGTTGCGGGGGGGTGCTGGGTCCCCTTGAAAGATTTCGGAAACAAGCACATGAAAGGGTTGTATAGCTGAGAAACCTCCAAACAAATGAGCATATGCGCATATGATCCCACAGCCTTTCGTGCATTGACAGAAATATACCCAAGTGAGAGCGTTTAGGCAAGCGCTTCATAGGAAGACACTTCTGACCCTGCCAGGTCACTATCTGCCACCAGAAAACCCTTTCTTGAGGAGGATTCTATTAAGTGGGTCCCGAACCCACCAATTGAATTGGGTTCGCGGCTCCCAAGGGGCTAGACGATTGAATTTTTTAATGCGTTACCTAGCATGGTTCCGCAAGCTTGGGCAGCAAGTTGACCTGCAAAACTCCGGCCCACAATGGATTTCTATCCCAATGATTCCATGAGGGTTTTGCCCACAGCCCCGGCCACTTTCAATTATGACCTCATCTACCAAAACTGATTGAAGGCTGATTGGACTTCTTCCTTTGGGGGTATGATTATCGTACTGCAGGGTTCATGTGGAACATGTGCGTGACCCCGCCCGCAGCGCATTGAAAGAGGGGCAGTTTGTCCTCTGCTTCGCAGGGTGTGGGCCTGGCTGTGAGCATCGCAGCAAATGCCGTGGGGCACGCTGGAAGCGGCAGGTGTGCTGAGACTGACCCCAAATGTTGCTCAACCGCCCCAATCATACTCAATATGTTAACGATGCTCACAATTTTGGCGGTTGTGGGAGAGGTTCATCACTTGTTCAAACATGTTCAAACTATTCTGGGTTGGCTGAGTCCACCTGTGAAGTTTGTGGAGTCCCAAAAGCTTTGCAAGAGCAATTGTCCAGGACTCCCGACACGGCAAATAACAATTGCATCAGATTATATCTACCCTAAGCACTTGAAATGTCATAAACGTGTCAGCAATATGGCCAGTAGCTGGTAGGTATGCAATCACGATACGACCGTGTGTTCAACTGAATTATGCGCATCACCGCCAATTGCAACACACATGCAAACATATACAAACACTTGTTCAACAGCTCTTGTCCAGGCAAACGCCGTCACCACCAATTGTCACGGGAAGGGCGCGCATGGCGCTGCAACAAATGACAACGTTTCTCACTAATACCGATACCCCATGCGCCGTGGCATCAAGCAAACAGCTGCAAAAGCTGACTCAACCTTGTTACATATTCAAAAAGCAAAACACATGCCTGGCAGTGAGATGCCTGGGCAATGGTGCTGAAAGGCAACAGGAACACAGGGCCTGGATGTGTTACACTGTGGGACTGTGACAAATGGTCTGTGTTTGTTGGTTTCCTTGGAGCAACCGCGTTCAAAATACAGCCAAATCATTCTGATTTACACATCCAGCTTTTCTCACTCTCTTTTGCCCGATGATATGCGTATCGCTTTGCGTGCGAAAGGCTAGGAGAAGATATCGGGAGCACCTGAGAGAGGCGCCTGCCTTGTGTCAAAAGGTTCGGTCCCTCCAAAGTTCTTGCTTTCAATGGTTCCCTCAAAGCAGTTCAGGAATCCTGGGCCAGCTTTTGACACCTCAAGCATGACTGAGACGCGCAACAAAACCGCCGTCAGGGCAGCTCAGTTTGCCCAAGTGAGGCTAGCCTGAGTTGCCTCATCAATCAGAGCCTGAGTTGCCAACCGGGTCATAAGGAAACCGTGCCAACGTACAAAAGCAGCCCGACAACACACACTCGAAACCACAACAACAAACAAGTTCTCAAAACAAGCAAATTATCACCACAAAAAAGAAGCTGCGGAAAGGCTGAATTCAAGTCGCGCCACATTGCTTGCGCCGCTTGGATGCCGCGGGCGTGAGGGCTCAGGGCTTCCTCAGCTGTCCAACCAGGAAATGAAACGTGGTTTTTTTCGGAAGCAAACCAGCAAGCTAGAAGCTTGAGAACCTTCTGCTCACCATTTGGACTAGGCCAAAGCTGGGGCCCAAAAGGCTAGATCCGGTCTATCCGCTGAAGGCGATTTTCGCCAAAAGGGACACCTTTGGGTGTGTGTTGTGTTAGGGGTGGCTTGATTTAAAGGGAGCCAAGGGGAAAGCACCCATTTTGAGGTTCATTTGTGGAGCCTTGGATGGGAAAGACCCTTTGACGAGCTTCACATCCTTCAAGGCCGCCTCGACCTTCTCCACCTGAGAGCGGTGTGCATCCCTTTCTCCAGATCAACACCGAACCAAAGACAAAAAAGAAGAAACAAACAAACAAAAAAAGAAGAACCAAAAGAAGCAGCAGGGCCTTAACAGTTGGGACCGGGCCCCTTTTTTTCGGTTCCGAGTTTATCTGGGGGCGCATGGATGTCCTCCTTTAGCTTCCGAAGGAAGAGCAACAACCATCTCAAAACTGGCTCGAGATGTTCGCCTGGGTCACCTCCCCGAAGTAGAGGCCCACCCCGCGCTCGTGGCCCGGCTGAATCTGGGGGTCGTTCAGCAAACTCAGGGCCTTCTGGTGCCATTCCTCGAATTCGGGTTGCTTAGGCTGTTTGGTGTGGTCAGGCTTGCCACAGGTCTGACCGCTCACGCCCCCATCCCTTTTTGTTGGTTTTGCTTTTTGGGGAGGCACCTTTTGAGTGAGCGGCGAGAGAAAGGTCTCAGTTGTGGATGTCCATGCTCACATCTTGACAAGGTTCTTTTAGACCTGGCCACGCCCCAAGGTTGTTTGCTCTCAACTGGGCTGCCCGCAAGGTGAGGCCGAAGGGTTCCCGCTTTCGCCTAATTCATCTCTTGCAAGAGACCAGTGATCCGTATAGTCCGTTCAACGTCGACAGAACTGAAAAGATCTGAGGCCGGGACTTGTTGCCAACACCGAAAGAGAGGACAACAAGTGATACGACACCGTGAGTGGAGCAAGCAAGGCACCGATATCCAGGGATCAAGGCTGAATAAGGCTGAGCTTTTCGGAGCAAACTGTCAGCAAATGCCACTTATGTTGAGGAGAGGTGCAGTCTCTCGCAAAAATACATTTGGACATGATGCTTTTGTTGGAAGATTTGTGGGACGAGGTGCCGCAATTAAACCGAGCAGGCCACTAATGCTGGAAGGCAATCCAAAAGCTAGTCTCTCCCTGAAAAGGGGGGTGCTTCGGTTCCCCGGTCTCGCAAAGGTGTGGGCAAAGCCCCTCCCTTCCCAAGCCCGAAGCCCCAGTGGCCAAAGGAACAAGTGTTCTCCCTCTTTTGGCAGCGCATCTTGAAGGGAAGACGCCCTCCCAAAAGAAATAGAATAGGAAATGGTTCACTGGACAGCGGGGTCACTAGATTCCCTTTTCAAAAGTTGAAATTAGTTGGCGGGCCCAAGGAAACTGCAACTTTTGGAGCTCCAGCAAAAAACGTTGAGAGACCTCTCCCTCGTCGAGGTTGCAAGCCGAAGGTATTCCTTCCAGTTGGGACACGCACTTGTTTAAGCATGTTTCAACCCGTCTAACATCCTGATGTAGATTTTCCTTGAAAGCAAATTTTGACCAACCCCCTGAATCTCTGCTGAAGTGTCCGTGGTGAAAGCGGCGCAGGCGTCCTCTACGAGGCACACGGAGATGAAGCGATCCACGGCTTGCGAGGCTGTGGCGAACACGCACACGTTGGTCAGGACTCCGCCTGGGCCCCGGGGCACAGCTCAAGTGAGTTACAATAAAACACTGGAAAGTAACCAGATGGTCTAATTACCCAACATCGTGCAAAGAAAGGGGGCGGCGGCAGTTGGGTGGGCCTTCACTTGCCCGGGTTTTGATTCTGACTCATGTTTAGGGACCTAAGTGGAGGGAAACCCAAAAGCCCGACCCATTAACTCTTGGTTTTACCAACCTGGCTAGGAAGCTCGGAATAGCTTTTTCACTCTAAGCCCCATCAAACTGGGCAGTAGAAGCTGATTGCACAATGCCCAGCAAGGGGATTTGGGCTCTCCCAAACAAACACAGGCCTCCTGGGCAGCACATCATGGGCCTCAAAAGAACAAACCTTCTCACCAGGAAAATTCCACGGGCCTTGACTAGTGTTGACCTACCAGTAGGGGCCTCTGAAACTTGGCCATCCTTGAGAGCCTGCGTGGGGACTCCTTTGCTGACCCAGGTGCACAGCAAAATCCGCTTCACGCCCTTCTTCCGGAGCTCCCGCTCCAGGAACGTAGATGCAAAGGCACCATAGGTCCTCGTGGCAGAAGAAAATCAGTCAAATCAACGACACCCGCCAACCAAACCAACGCAAATAACCCACCCGGGCGTAGCCACGGAATTCCTCACCATGTCCCAGCCAAAACGAGGCGCCACTTGTCCACCACGATCTCCCCCGGCTGCGCCCTGAGCAGTGGATGGAGCTCATAGCCCTCATCGTCCGTGCCCACCTAAGCCAAGTGCCACGGCCCAAACTGCGAAATCCGAATTCGTGGCGTCTCTCCAAACGGGGACCCCAAAAGGCTGGCTTCCCCGTGGCTTCCCACGAAAGTGACCCCAAAAAGGGTACCCTCAAACAACAGCCACTCCCATTTGCTTCATGACAGCGGCTCCCCCAAGCATGCACAGCGACATACAGTGACGAGCAAGGAAATGTAATGTGACATGTTCTCTTTTTTTTGCCGGGATCGCTTTGTAGTTGAGTCGAGAAAGCAGGGGTACGTAGTATATACAATGTGACTCATGACCAAAATAACCAACAAAGCCTCCGGTTGACTGAATATGGTTAAGCACCCCCATCATCTTTGGCAAGCCGCACGGCATCTCACAAAGCAACCCTGTTGACTTGATAAACCGCCTGCTCGAATGAAAAAGCCGGGTGCGAAAGAAGCCTGCCATCAAGCGGGTGTCAGTTGATGTCCTCCTGGAGCACCCTTCGTTACATAAATTTCTGCCCTTAGCCCAAACGTATTGCAAAACCAGGGGTCGTCACCAAAATATGGTAAACCTACACTTTTTCCTGCTTCGAGCGTTTTTCCCAAAACCGGGCTGGTCGGTCCTCCAAGATGATCGGTCGCTGAATATTCAAACGGAGCGAGCAGAAATCAAAGTGCAAAACGAGCGCAAATATCCGCAAAACGAGCGCAAATATCCGCAAACGAGTGCAAATTCAAAAAACGTAACAATCCCACCTTCCTCTGGATGGAAGAAGGGGATGTGGTCGAGCGTTTTTCGGGGGGCGAGCGTTTTTGGGGGGGTCGAGCAGAAATCGGTAATTCGAGCGTTTTTTTCTCGTGCCTAAAAAAAAAGGCACGTTGGATGCCTCAGGCTTGATCCGGGGTGGTTAAAGCAATCTTGAACATCATCTTATATCACCGTTTTTTGCCGGGGCAACCTTACATTACCTTGAGGTTTCTAATGTTGATCGACTTTCCGTTTTGCGGAATGCTGCGTCGAATGTTCCAAAATGATGGACACCTGGCAACGTTCAATCCCTTGAGCATGGAATTGGTCGACTAGGAGTGGTTCCGAACTATTGAGCTGACTAGCTGATTTACAAGGCATTTCTAACTTAGCGACCTTCACCATGGGTAGAAACGTGGTTGTGAATTTGACAAAGCCATTCGTTTCAGCGGTGTTCAGCTGCCCACAATCAAAGGCTAAAATGAAAAACGTCCACCCAAAACTCATGGTA